TCAGGTCAGGATCCCAGGGTCCTGGGATCGAGCCCCACATCGGGCTCCCTGCTCAGCGGGAAGCCTGCTTCTCCCTCTCCCACTCCCCCTGCTTGTGTTCCCTTTCTCGCTGTGTCTCTCTCTGTCAAATAAATAAATAAAATCTTTAAAAAAAAAAAAAAAGAAAACTGGGCAAAGGACTTGAACAAACATTTCCCCAAAGATGATACATAAATGGCCAATAAGCACATGAAAGGTTGTTCAACATTATTATTCAGTAGGGAAATGCAAACCAAAACGACAATAAGATATCATTTCACATCCTCTTTTGATAGCTAGAATTAAAACAAAAGTTAAAAATAAGTATTGGTGAGGATGTGAAGAAAGAGGAACCCTCATACACTGCTGATGGGAATATGAAATGGTCCATCTGCTGTAGAACTGTCTGGTCCTTCCTCTAAAAGTAAAACACAGAATTACCCATTTGATCCCGTAATTCCACTCCTAGGTATATAAGCAAGAGAACTGAAAAAATTACTTAAGCAAGTACATCTATACACATGGTCACAGCAGCACTATTCACACATCCAAAAGGTGGACAAAGTCCAATGTCCATCAAGAGATGGATGGATACAATGGAGTATCATCCAGCCATAAAGATAAATGAAGTACTGGAGCCTGTGCATGGCTTAGTTGGTTAAGCAGCCAACTCGTGGTTTCGACTCAGATCATGATCTGGCAGTCGTGAAATCGAGCCCTGCATCCGGCTCTGTGCTTAGTGTGGAGTCTGCTTCTGATTCTCTCTCATTCTCCTCCAGCTTGCACTCTCTCTCTTTCTTAAATAAACAAAATCTTAAAAAAAAAAAGTTGTTGATACCTGATACAACATGGAGGAACTTCCAAAACATTAGGCTAAGTGAAAGTCAGAGAAAAAAGGTCACATATTGTATGATTCCCTTTATAAGAAATATCCAGAATAGATTAATACACAGAGACAGAAAGCTGGGGGCATGGCTGTCAGAGACCAGGACTAGGGTGAAATGGGAATGGGGGGAAATTGTGTTGTGGGTAAGGTGTTTTATGTAGGAATGATGGAAATAACTTTACAAATAAAGGTGATAGTTGAACAACACTGGGACCACATACTAAATGCCATTGAATTATGTTCACTTTATTTTTTTTTTTAAAGATTTTATTTATTTATTTGAGACAGAGAGCATGAGAGGGAGGAGGGTCAGAGGGAGAAGCAGACTCCCTGCCGAGCAGGGAGCCCGATGCGGGACTCGATCCAGGGACTCCAGGATCATGACCTGAGCCGAAGGCAGTCGCTTAACCAACTGAGCCACCCAGGCGCCCTAATTATGTTCACTTTAAATGGTTCATTTTATGTATTTGAATTTCACCTCAATAAATTATTATTTATTATAATTATTATTTTTAAAGGATGGGGCAAATTCTAGGTCTCCAGAAAGGCAGTTCTTTTTTTTTTTTTTTTAAGATTTTATTTATTTGAGAGAGAGACCATGTGCATGAGTTGGAGGTTTGGGGGGGCAGAGGGACAAGCAGACTTCCCCCTGAGCAAGGAGCCCGATGCGGGGCTCAATCCCAGGACCCTGGGATCATGACCTGAATCGAAGGCAGACTCTTAACTGACTGAGCCACCCAGGCGCCCCATTTACTCTTCTTTCTAAAGGTTGTTTTTGCTTTTGTTTGTCCCTTAAATTTCTATATAAATATTAGGATCAGTTTGTCAATTTCTGGGAAAAGGGAAACTGGTATTTTGATTAGGATTTCATTTAATCTGTAGATCAAATTGGGGAATATTGCCATGTTAACATTAAGTCTTTCTACTCATGAAGACAGGATGTTGGGTCTTTAATTTCTTTGAGCAGTGTTTTAATAGTTTTCTGTGTACAAATCTTTCACCTCCTTGGTTAGATTTAATCCTTGGTATTTTATTCTTTTAGATGCCATTGTAAGTGGAATTGTTTTCTCAATATCCTTTTTAGGTTATCCTGTTTATGTTATTGCTGGTATAGAGAAGTAAATCTGATTTTTGAGTGTTGATCTTATATCCTACAACTTTGCTGAATTTATTAGCTTTAGTAGTTATCTTGTGAATTCTTTGAAATTTTCTTTGTCGTTTTTGAAATAATGTTACTTCTTCCTTCCCAGTTTGTATGCCTTTTATTGCTTTTTATTGTTTAATTCTCTGGCTAGAACTTCCAGGACAGTGTTAAATAGCAGTGGTAAAAATGGTTATCCTTGTCGTCCTATTCTTGATCTTAGGAGGAAAGATTTCACCATTTAGTAAAATGCTAGATGTGGGTTGTTTTTTTTTTAATTCCTTTACAATGTTAAGATACTTCCCCTCTATTTATAGTTTTTTGAGTGTTTTATCTAGAAAAAGTGTTGGATTTTGTCAAATGCTTTGTATCAATTGAGATGCCCATCTTTTAATATGTTGTTTCTAAGTACAAATCTATGTATGTCATTCCACTGCTCAGAAGTTTTATATATATAGGTATTAAACTCAGAACAAAGTAACATATTCCTGTGGTCTAATTTTTGTATTTTATTTTTCATTACAAGTGGGTTCTTCACTACTGTGGTAGGTAGAATAATGGTCTTTCAGAGAAGTCCACATCTCAGTCCCTGGAACCTGTGATATGTTAGCTTATATGTTAAAGAAAAATTAAAGTTGCTAATTATTAGCTGGCCTTAAAATAAAGAGATTATTCCGGATTATCCAGGTGGGCCCAGTGTAACCCGAGTCCTTTCATGTGGAAAAGGTAGGCAGAAAATGAGAATGAGAGATGTGGAAGAAAGGCGTAGAGAAATGCAACATTGTTTGCTTTGAGGATTAGAGGAAGGGGGACCAATAGCAAAGGAGTGTGGGTGGCCTCTAGAAGCTTTAGAAAGGGCAAGGAAAGAGATTTTTTTCTTAGAGCCTTCAGAAAGGAGTGCATTGCTGCTGACACACTGAATTTAGCCTTGTGAGAACAGTGTCAGATTTTGACCTACAGAAGTATAAATTTTTGTTTTAAACTAAGTTTGCTGATTTGTTACAGTAGCAATGCAAAACAAATACAACTACCCAAGTCTGTTTATGATGTTGGTTTATTTCTCTGGGCTAACTCATGTCTAAATTTCCCTTAGGTTGTTAAAATTGACTTATTATTCAAGACCCATCTCAAAGCTTTTTCAAACATTAAGCCTTTAGTTTGTCTTCAACACCACATGCCAGGTGTCCACTATCCAGGATATACCCTAAGTTTCTCTTTCCTTGTTTCTGTTGTGCTTTTTTTTTACCTTCCTCGTGGCATCTAACAAGTTTTAGAATTTAGTATTTGGTATTTTATTAAAATTTTATTCTCCTTTTAAAAATGTTCTGTTATCTTGATATGGTTGTGTATTTTGTGTGTATGTCTAAATTTGGGTTGTATATATAAGACTTTTATACTTTATTTTTTAAAAGATTTTATTTATTTATTTGACAGGGAGAGAGGGAACACAAGCAGGTGGAGTGGCAGGCAGAGGGAGAAGCAGGCTCCCGTCTGAGCAGGGAGCCCGATGCGGGGCTCGATCCCAGGACCCTGGGATCATGACCTGAGCCGAAGGCAGATGCTTAACCGACTGAGCCACCCAGGTGTCCCAGATTTTTATACTTTAGTTATTATCTCTATTTAGAATTTTGAATCTTTCATTTTAGACTGAGGTTGGTACTATATCTTACTCAGTCTTTTTTTTGCTATTGAATAACAGTCTGTGATGCATAAGGTAAGCAATCCATATGTGTTTGACTTAAACTAAATGTACATGTGGATTAGGTCCTATAATTTAAATTTATGAACCAAAGGACGCCTGGGTGGCTCAGTCAGTTAAGCATCTGCCTTCAGGTCATGTCATGATCCCAGGGTCCTGAGGGCAAGCCCTGGGTCAGGTTTCCTGCTCAGCAGGGAGTCTGCTTTTCTCTCTCCCTCTGCTCCTCCCCTGCTCATGCACATTTGCATGCTTTCTCTCTCAAATAAATAAATAAAATCTTACCCAGAAAAGTAGTGAGTTTTATCCATATCCTGAGGGAGTTATAATTAAGTTGTTGGGAGGCATATTTTCAGTTTATGTAAACCATAATTATTGAAACCATTGATGTTAAAGGTGATTATACATCTCTCTAGATAGATTTTAAGCAAGGTCAAATTTTGGAGGGAGTTGTTTCTTTTTATGTACTTTAGGTTCAGATGTGTCTGAAAATAAAGATACTTAGTTGCTTCTCAAGACTCTTGAATATCAGTTCATCATATTTGTCAATATTTTTAAAAGATTTATTTTAGAGAGAGAACACATGAGCATGCGAGCACATGAGCATGAGCAGTGGGGTGGGGGTGAAGGGCAGAGGGAGAGGGAGAGAAGCAGAGTCCCCGTGGAATGCAGAGCCCAATGTGGGGCTTGATTCCACAACCCCAAGATTATGACCTGAGCCAAAATCAAGAGTCAGACATTCCATCGACTGAGCCACCCAGGCGCCCCTCTCTATTTTTAAGTGAGTTTTTTTAGAAGGATGGTGCTACAAACATGTGCTTTTTTAACTAAGAAATGTATCTTGCAGATTGTTCAGAACTAATATTTCTAATATAAAAAATGTTTAATAATTCTTCAGCGTTGGGGTGTCTGGGTGGCTCAGTTGATTGAGCGGTTGACTCTTGGTTTTGGTTCAGGACATGATCTCATGGTGGCGGGATTGAGCCCCTCATTGGGCTCTGCGATCAGGGCAGAGTCTGCTTCAGCTTCTCTCTCTCTCCCTCTCGCTCACTCTCTCTCTCTCTCACAAATAAATATATTAAGTCTTTAAAAAAAAAATTCTTCAACATCGATTGCAAATATGAAGAAAAAGAATTGTTTTCTCCCCTAATGATGAGAAAACAAGTTTTCTAAGAATAAAAGAAACTTCAGCAGAACTGATGTCCCTTTTTACATCATATTTTTGAGTATTTACCGAATGTGATGTTTGTGTCTCATAGAATGGAGATGTATGCATTTCGATTCTTCATCCGCCTGTAGATGACCCACAGAGTGGAGAACTGCCCTCTGAAAGGTGGAATCCTACTCAAAATGTCAGGTAAGGGGTTACATACGGAATAATCTGGTTTTTAGGTGGTTCTTAAGATTAGATATTATCTTTTAACAAGTACAAAAGAATCCTTTCTGTACTTGGTTGCTTTGTCTTCTGCTAGAGCTTTAGGTAACACGTATGTATCGTTTTGAAGAGTCATATTTACAGAGCAGTAATTGCATATGTTACTCATTTCTTTATGTGCGTCTTAGGAGAATTTTTCTAGTCTGAATTCTTATTCGTACATTATCATAAGTTCCATCCTGCATCTTTGGATCTCATGATGTCCATGTTTGGATTGGTTGTTTCCTTACTCTAGGATTCTTACTACATTTTGCAGAAAAATTTTAAGTCTTTACAAAGTCAATTGACTTTATATACATGCTACTTTTAAAAGAGCTTCCATTATCTGTTATTTTTTGTGTTTTATATGCGTGTGAATGTTTCTTAATGATTTGAAGGCCTTGTATATTTCTTTTGATTCCTTTGATTATCCATCTATTTTTCTTTTCAAATTTTTATTTAAATTCTAATTAGTTAACATACAATGCAATATTAAGATTATTCATCTGTTAATTGATCTATTGAACTATCTATATAAATAGATGGGTATTTAACCATTTCTTTAGAGTAGTGGTCTGTATATTTAGGAGTTGGTGACCTAACCCTTAAAAGAATTTTGAAAAACTGTACACTGTTGCATGTTTTTGTAGTTTTTTGTGTTTTGTTTTTTTTTAATTTTATTTTGAGTAATCTCTATACCCAACATGGGGCTTGAATTTACAACTCCAAGATAAAGAGTCACCTGCTCTACCGACTGAGCCAGTTAGGCGCCCCCACTGTTACATGTTTTTTAGGTGCAGGGTTCTCTTGGTGTTTTGTTTTTTTAGGTACAGTTTTTTACATCTCTAAATAGTTAAAAAATACTTTTTCGGGGCACCTGGGTGGCTCAGTTGGTTGAGTGACTGCCTTCGGTTTGGGTCATGATCCTGGAGTCCCGGGATCGAGTCCTGCGTCGGGCTCCCTGCTCAGCGGGGAGTCTGCTTCTCCCTCTGACCCTCTCCCCTCTCATGCTCTCTCTCTCATTCTCTCTCTCTCTCTCAAATAAATAAAAATCTTTTTAAAAAATTAAAAGAAATAAAAAATATTTTTCTACTTGCATTTGAATTTCCATTTTACTGTCCTAATACTTGAAATTTTTATGTTTGATAGCCTTATATATTTTATTTATCCTATAATATTTTTCTGAAACAAAAATCTATATATTTTTTTTTTTAAGATTTTATTTATTTATTTGACAGAGAGAGACAGCGAGAGCAGGAACACAAGCAGGGGGAGTGGGAGAGGGAGAAACAGGCTTCCCGCTGAGCAGGGAGCCCGATGTGGGGCTCGATCCCAGGACCCTGGGATCATGACCTGAGCCGAAGGCAGATGCCCAACGACTGAGCCACCCAGGCGCCCCCAAAAATCTATATTTTAATTGCTTGTGACAAAACAAAACTGAATTCTATATTGAATTACTTTATTATACAGTTGATTAAAAACAAGACAAGTATATTATACTTTCAGTATACTTTTACTTTTTACATTTAATAATTATTAGAAATACATTTTTATTCAGGTAGATAGACATCTGTTTTCAGTTAGGTCATGTAGCCATGAATAATTATTATATTGTTAGATTGAGGTAGAAATACAGCTTCAATTTCATATGTATACATAATGTATGAATAATATACATTATATATACTGATACACACACCCAAGAATATATGCATATATATACATATATATGTATACATACGCATGAGGACTAACATATATAACATAAATATATTAGATGCAATGATTAAGAGACCATCTTTACATATGATAATGGAATAGAATTTTATATGGCAGTGAAACAATCCTTTTAATTCCTTCTGAGTTATTCGCAGAAATCACAGTGTCCGTCTTTAAAAAAAAGTTTTATTGTGACATAATTCCTATACCCAACAATTCTCCCATTTTATGTGTACGATTCACTGTTCTTTAATGTAAGTAGAGAGTTGCACAAGTATCCCCACAATCAGTTTTAGAACTTTTTTTTTTTTTTTAAGTAGCCTCTATGCCCAGTGTGGAGCCCAACTCGGGGCTTGAACTCAACGACCCTAGATAAAGATCTGAGCTGAGATCAAAAGTCGGACACTGAGCCGACTTAGGCACTGAGGTGCCCCATGAACATTTTTATCACCTCCAAAGAAGCTCATACCTCTTAGCATTTACACTCCATTATCCCTCAGCCCCCCACGCCCACCCCCACCCTTCTACCTGCAACCCTAGGAAACCACCAGTCTACTTTCTGTCTCTATAGATTTACCTATTTGGATATTTTGTAGGAATAGAGTCATTCAGTATGTGGTATTTTGTGATTGGCTTCTTTAACCTAGCATTTTTTCAAGGTTCATCTTTGTTGCAGCATTAATCAGTACTTCATACCTAGGAATAGAATTGCTGAGTCATATGATAACTCAGTGTTTAACTTTTTGAGGAATTGCCAGACTGTTTTCCAACATGGCTGCACTAAGTAGTACATTCCTACCAACAGTGTTTGAGAATTTGTTTATCCACATATTCATTAACACTTGTTATTATCTGTGTTATTATAACCATCCTGGTCGGGTGACGTATCCCATTGCGGTTTTGTTAATGACTTTTAATATTTTAGAACAGTTTTAGATTTTTGAAAATTGTGAAGATAGTACAGATAGTTCTCTAGAATTCCATGCATGATACCAAGTTATATTTAATAGGCATGTCTCCTTAGGCAACTGTGACAGTCTCAGACTTCCCTTGTTTTTGATGACCTTGACAATTTTGAGGAGTACTGCTCAGGTATTGTAAAAATGTCCCCCAATTGGGATTTTTCTGATGTTTTCCTGGTATTAGAGTAGGGTTATAGTACTGGAGAGGAAGACCATGGAGGTAAAATATATTGTCATCATCTTGTATTAAGGGTACATAATATCAACATGACTTAATCACTGTTGATGTTAACATTCATCACCTAGCTGGGACTCAGTTTTTAGATTTCTCCCATGTAAAGTTCCTTGTTTTCCCGTTTCCATTCTGTACTCTTTTGAAGGAAGGAAGTCATAGGTGCAGCCCACACATAAGGAATGGCAATTACACTTCCATGAGGCTGAGATATCTGTATAAATTATTTCAAATTCTTCTGCACAGGAGATTGATTAAAATCAATACCTAAATACATACATACATATATATTTATATGTTTATTCAGTCATTTTGTTTTTTGTTTTTTTTAAGGGGGAGGGGCTGAGGGAGAGGAAGAGAGAGAATTTTTTTTTTTTTAAGATTTATTTGTCAGAGAGAGAGAACATGAGCACAAGCAGGGGGAGTGGCAGGCAGAGGGAGAAGCAGGCTCCCTGCTGAGCAAGGAGCCTGATGCGGGACTCGATGTGGGACTCGATCCCAGGACCCTGGGATCATCACCTGAGCTGAAGGCAGACACTTAACCAAACTGAACCACCCAGGCATCCCGGGAGAGAGAGAATCTTAAGCAGGCTACATGCCCCGTGCAGAGCTGCACACAGGGCTTGGTCTCACAACCCTGAGATCATGACCTGAACCGAAACCAAGAGTCAGATACTCAACTGACTGAGCCACCCAGCTGCTCCTTTATTAGTTATTTTTAATGATCTGAAAAGCTAGTAACTCAGGAACTCTACTTTTGTTAAAAATGAAAAGTTGGAAGCTTCTTGACTTACACAAGGATTTCTTACCAGTTTTTACCAAGTTAGTTACTTCTCACTTTCTGGGAAGTGTATACCAAAGAGTCTGTTCAAACGTATCAAATTACTGTTGATTATGTGTTGATTATGCTGATTACTCATTACTTTAGGTACCTTGTTCAATATAGTATACTTAGAAAGAATTGAGAAAATAGATCTATCTTGGATTTTAATGCATCTAGCCCATATATTTTTTAAATCAGAAAAAAAATGTCTCCCTTTTAAAATTCAAATAAATGTGTTGATACACCTCACCTTGACAGCCATCTTGCTTATGGATTCTAATTCTCAGATAGATCAGGCATAGAACTTTGCCATAAGTTTATTATGTCTATGAAATAAGGAGTCACCACATATTCCCTGTACTTAATGCTTTACTTTAATGGGACTCTCCCTCAGGGATAATGCATTCTTAATAATAATCAGAGATGGAATTAGTAAGTTCCTTTTAATGAAAATGTAATTCCAGCAACCCCAGTCTATACATATCTGAATTTATTGTACTCCATCACATACCATAATACTTTTTTTAAATAGCATTCTACAGTTTTAACAAAATTATTTATGAGAAAGGAAGAACAGTTGGTTTTATATGTAAATTTCTTTCTTTTATACACCTTACGTTTCATTACCTCTGGGCAATGCACCCTAGGAATATTTGGGATGTGTGGAAGGTATGCATTCCTTTTGTAAGAGCAATTGTGAAAAGGGAGGCTGGAAAGAAGTGATCTGATACTTTATATACCCCCAGGTTCATGAACATATTAAAGACCACTTCTTTTACGCAGGATCTTTTATGATCCTTAGCAAAATTCGTATATTCCTACTTTTTTCATGCCTCATATCCCTTACATCACACAGTTATAGCTGATTATTTGTACCTTTAACCTGTACTTATCCTATTACTTGATTTTTCAGCCTCAGCCTGTATTGACAGAGCTAAGTAAAAGAAAATCAGCATACATATTCTATTTCCCATCCTCTCTTCCCCTTTTCTTCCTAACTTTTAAAAATATTTGTTTATTGGGGCACCTGGGTGGCTTAGTCGGTTGAGTGTCCGACTCTTGCTCTTGGCTCAGGTTATGTTCTCAAAGTCATGAGATTGAGCCCTGCATGGAGCTCCACGCTGGGCGTAGAGTCTGCTTAACTCTCTCTCCTTCTCCCCCTCCCCTCCCTGTCTGACTCATGCGCGTGCACACTCTCTCGTTCTCG